TTTGCATGTAAAGAGGAAGGTGAGAAGCTCATTTTCCCAAAATTTGAAATTTTTCCAGTGGAAAATTACAACATGAGGAATCTTGAAAATCAACCTACAATAACTGAATTAATTGAAAATACAGTCTCACACATTTCAAAGTTTTCCTGGAAAACTAGTGAAGGGATAATTTTGAAACTTTTTGCATGTAAAGAGGAAGGTGAGAAGCTCATTTTCCCAAAATTTGAAATTTTTCCAGTGGAAAATTACAACATGAGGAATCTTGAAAATCAACCTACAATAACTGAATTAATTGAAAATACAGTCTCACACATTTCAAAGTTTTCCTGGAAAACTAGTGAAAGGAAAATTTTTGAAACTTTTTGCATGTAAAGAGGAAGGTGAGAAGCTCATTTTCCCAAAATTTGAAATTTTTCCAGTGGAAAATTACAACATGAGGAATCTTGAAAATCAACCTACAATAACTGAATTAATTGAAAATACAGTCTCACACATTTCAAAGTTTTCCTGGAAAACTAGTGAAGGGATAATTTTGAAACTTTTTGCATGTAAAGAGGAAGGTGAGAAGCTCATTTTCCCAAAATTTGAAATTTTTCCAGTGGAAAATTACAACATGAGGAATCTTGAAAATCAACCTACAATAACTGAATTAATTGAAAATACAGTCTCACACATTTCAAAGTTTTCCTGGAAAACTAGTGAAGGGATAATTTTGAAACTTTTTGCATGTAAAGAGGAAGGTGAGAAGCTCATTTTCCCAAAATTTGAAATTTTTCCAGTGGAAAATTACAACATGAGGAATCTTGAAAATCAACCTACAATAACTGAATTAATTGAAAATACAGTCTCACACATTTCAAAGTTTTCCTGGAAAACTAGTGAAGGGATAATTTTGAAACTTTTTGCATGTAAAGAGGAAGGTGAGAAGCTCATTTTCCCAAAATTTGAAATTTTTCCAGTGGAAAATTACAACATGAGGAATCTTGAAAATCAACCTACAATAACTGAATTAATTGAAAATACAGTCTCACACATTTCAAAGTTTTCCTGGAAAACTAGTGAAGGGATAATTTTGAAACTTTTTGCATGTAAAGAGGAAGGTGAGAAGCTCATTTTCCCAAAATTTGAAATTTTTCCAGTGGAAAATTACAACATGAGGAATCTTGAAAATCAACCTACAATAACTGAATTAATTGAAAATACAGTCTCACACATTTCAAAGTTTTCCTGGAAAACTAGTGAAGGGATAATTTTGAAACTTTTTGCATGTAAAGAGGAAGGTGAGAAGCTCATTTTCCCAAAATTTGAAATTTTTCCAGTGGAAAATTACAACATGAGGAATCTTGAAAATCAACCTACAATAACTGAATTAATTGAAAATACAGTCTCACACATTTCAAAGTTTTCCTGGAAAACTAGTGAAGGGATAATTTTGAAACTTTTTGCATGTAAAGAGGAAGGTGAGAAGCTCATTTTCCCAAAATTTGAAATTTTTCCAGTGGAAAATTACAACATGAGGAATCTTGAAAATCAACCTACAATAACTGAATTAATTGAAAATACAGTCTCACACATTTCAAAGTTTTCCTGGAAAACTAGTGAAGGGATAATTTTGAAACTTTTTGCATGTAAAGAGGAAGGTGAGAAGCTCATTTTCCCAAAATTTGAAATTTTTCCAGTGGAAAATTACAACATGAGGAATCTTGAAAATCAACCTACAATAACTGAATTAATTGAAAATACAGTCTCACACATTTCAAAGTTTTCCTGGAAAACTAGTGAAGGGTAAATTTTGAAACTTTTTGCATGTGAAAAGGAAGGTGAGAAGCTCATTTTCTCAAAATTTCAAATTTTTCCAGTGGAAAACAGCAACATGAAAAATCTTGGAAATCAACCTACAATAACTGAATTAATTGAAAATACAGTCTCACACATTTCAAAGATTTCCTGGAAAACTAGTGAAGGGATAATTTTGAAACTTTTTGCATGTAAAGAGGAAGGTGAGAAGCTCATTTTCCCAAAATTTGAAATTTTTCCAGTGGAAAATTACAACATGAGGAATCTTGAAAATCAACCTACGGTAACTGAATTAATTGAAAATACAGTCTCACACATTTCAAAGTTTTCCTGGAAAACTAGTGAAGGGAAAATTTTGAAACTTTTTGCATGTAAAGAGGAAGGTGAGAAGCTCATTTTCCCAAAATTTGAAATTTTTCCAGTGGAAAATTACAACATGATGAATCTTGAAAATCAACCTACAATAACTGAATTAATCGAAAATACAGTCTCATTCATTTTAAAGATTTCCTGAAAAACTAGTGAAGGAAAATTTTGAAACTTTTTGCATGTAAAGAGGAAAGTGAGAAGCTCATTTTCCCCAAATTTCAAATTTTTCCAGTGGAAAACAGCAACATGAAAAATCTTGGAAATCAACCTACAATAACTGAATTCATTGGAAATACAGTCTCACACATTTCAAAGATTTCTTGGAAAACTAGTGAAGGGAAAATTTTGAAACTTTTTGCATGTAAAGAGGAAGCTGAGAAGATCATTTTCCCAAAATTTCAAGTTTTTCCAGTGGAAAACAGCAACATGAAAAATTTTGGAAATCAACCTACAAATACTGAATAAGTTGAAAATACAGTCTCACACATTTCAAAGTTTTCCTGGAAAACCAGTGAAAGGAAAATTTTGAAACTTTTTGCATGTAAAGAGGAAGGTGAGAAGCTCATTTTCCCAAAATTTGAAATTTTTCCAGTGGAAAATTACAACATGAGGAATCTTGAAAATCAACCTACAATAATTGAATTAATTGAAAATATAGTCTCACACATTTCAAAGATTTCCTGGAAAACTAGGGAAGGGAAAATTTTGAAACTTTTTGCATGTAAAGAGGAAGGTGAGAACATCATTTTCCCAAAATTTCAAATTTTTCCAGTGGAAAACAGCAACATGAAAAATCTTGGAAATCAACCTACAAAAACTGAATTAATTGAGAATTCAGTTTCACACATTTCAAAGATTTCCTGGAAAACTAGTGAAGGAAAAATTTTGAAACTTTTTGCATGTAAAAAGGAAGGTGAGAAGCTCATTTTCTCAAAATTTCAAATTTTTCCAGTGGAAAACAGCAATATGAAAAATCTTGGAAATCAACCTATAATAACTGAATTAATTGAAAATACAGTTTAACACATTTCAAAGATTTCCTGGAAAACTAGTGAGGGAAAATTTTGAAACTTCTTACATGTAGAGAGGAAGGTGAGAAGCTTATTTTCCCAAAATTTCAAATTTTTTCAGTGGAAAATAACAACATGAAAAATCTTGGAAATCAGCTTACAAAAACTGTAGGTATTGATTATTCTTTTGAATTTTTTAAATTTGACAATTTCCTTCAAATTCCTCAGAATTTCTCCCAAATTTCCCATAAATTCCTCCAAATTCCCTATAAATTCGCCAAATTTTCATAAATTTGGATGAGTTCCTTCAAATTTCTCACAAATTCCTCTAAATTTCCTACAAATTCCTCTAAATTCGCCACATATATTCTGTGATTGAATTAAGGATTTTTCTTTGAAAAATGCCAAATAGGGCCTCTGAAAGACAATTAATCGCTCTATAAATTCTCAAAATTTTATCTCTATACAACGTGTTCTCAAAAACTTAGAGGTCACTTATTTGGAAATAAAGGCATTTCTGCATTATTTCATAAAACCCCCTGTAGATTGAATTCAGGATTTTTTTTGAGAAATTCCAAATAGACCTTCTGAAAGGCAATGAATTGCTCTATAAATTCTCAAAATTTTGTCTCTATACAAGGTGTTCTCAAAAAGCTAGAGGCCACTTATTTGGAAATAAAGCCATTTTTGCATTATTTTAGAAAACCCCCTGTAAGTCGAATTCAGGATTTTTTTGGAGAAATTTCAAATAGAGCTTCTGAAAGGCAATGAATCACTCTATAAATTCTCAAAATTTTATCTCTATACAATGTGCTCTTGAAAAGTTAAGAGGCCACTTATTTGGAAATAAAGCCATTTCTGCATTATTTCATAAAACCCCCTGTAGATTGAATTCAGGATTTTTTTTGAGAAATTCCAAATAGACCTTCTGAAAGGCAATGAATTGCTCTATAAATTCTCAAAATTTTGTCTCTATACAAGGTGTTCTCAAAAAGCTAGAGGCCACTTATTTGGAAATAAAGCCATTTTTGCATTATTTTAGAAAACCCCCTGTAAGTCGAATTCAGGATTTTTTTGGAGAAATTTCAAATAGAGCTTCTGAAAGGCAATGAATCACTCTATAAATTCTCAAAATTTTATCTCTATACAATGTGCTCTTAAAAAGTTAAGAGGCCACTTATTTGGAAATAAAGCCATTTCTGCATTATTTCATAAAACCCCCTGTAGATTGAATTCAGGATTTTTTTTGAGAAATTCCAAATAGACCTTCTGAAAGGCACTGAATTGCTCTATAAATTCTCAAAATTTTGTCTCTATACAACGTGTTCTCAAAAAGTTAGAGGCCACTTATTTGGAAAAAGCCATTTTTGCATTATTTTAGAAAACCCCCTGTAAGTTGAATTCAGGATTTTTTTTGAGAAATTTCAAATAGGGCCTCTAAAAGGCTCTATAAAATCCCAAAAATTTTGTTTTTATACAGGGTGTCCATGAAAAGTTAGAGGCATTATCTGAAGTTGATGGATCAAGATTTGCAGGATAATTTTTCTCAATATTATTGTATACTCATTTTCCAATATTCTTAATATATATACTCATTTTTCAATCCAAGTTTTCTCAGAAAAGTAGAGGTAAGACGATAATATTTCAATGTTTACCTGTATATACCTGTAAGAAGCAAAATATTTTCAAAGAACCTTCAATGTGTCAAGAATTTAAGATCAGTTAAAGAAATAATACCTTCGCCATCCTGACACGAATTTCAAAATCCCCTTCGCCATTATATAAAGAATCACTTGTACACCATTATGTCAATAAAACAAAAACTTCAATAATCATAATCTATTGAACAAATAATTCATCCAGAAATTCGGCAAAATCCTGACATCTGCACATGACCTGAAAGTTTCCTGAGGTCCACAACCAACTGCTGAAGTACCATTTGCGCACTTGCCCCAATTATTCCCAGCAGAATAATTCCACCTAAGCACACATCTTTCACAAATAAACTTGCTGGGCAACTGGACAAAACTTGTAACATTAAAATCCAGTGGGCCAATGTTTTGATAATAAGAACCATCAGCTAGTTGCAAGTTTTTGAAGCAATTTTCTTGTTCTGGCAGGTTTGGATTGGACAATTTGCATAGTTGGTAAGAGATTTTTCCTAAATGATTGGCTGTTATTCTAATGTCGATTTTAATAATGTTGCCTGAATAATATGAGGCTACAATTATTCCATTTCCATAAGTTCCACCATTTTCGTTGCTTCTTGGGCTGGGATCTCGCCAATCGTCACCGCAAGGGCCACATTTTCCTTTGTTAATTTCGTATTGAACCTGGCAAATATTATCTATTATTCACAATCTGATGTCCAAAGGTATAGGTAAAATGTATCACCTATTTCAGTGCTATTTGTTAGAGAAAGGTGATACATTTACCTTTACCTTTGGACTATGGATTGTGAATATCAAAGGTTTTTAAGAATTTAATTCTTACTGAAAATCCCCCACAAAAAAACTGGTTGTCGTCATAATCGTGTCCCACTGTCCAATCTGAAGGGTTGAGTCTCCATCTTGAGGCTCTATTTATTGGATTGTACATGTAGCCATGCCCTAAAACTTGTAGAGTAAAACTTAGAATTATTATCATTATTGGTAAAGACATTTTTGTGAATGATTTTCAGGTAACTATATTGAGGTATTTATATTAGTACATATTGTTATCAAAATTGCATTACAGTGATTAGATTTTTACTACATGATTCACAATAATAATAGGGTTTTTCTTTTTGTAATTTCCTATAATAGATTAGCTTATCTATAATTATTTGAAATCATCCATGGCCTACTATAGTGTGCAAGATGGCGGTAAAAGTAAAAAGCAACCCTCCATCAAACATTTTTGAAAACAATCCACTTATAATTATTATTGCGGCTCTTTCCTCCTCAATCTTACAATAGGGGGAATATAAAGGTGTGAACTATATAATTACTAAACAATGCAATTACAATGGCGGCATTTCATTGTAACGCATGACGTAGGCGAATATAACGCGTGTACGCCTGTCATTCTAAAAACTAAGTCGGTGTTTAAAGTTATTAAATACGATGACCGATTATTGGGATATTTATTGTTCAAAAAACAACCTGCGGCGGATGGACTATATTTATATTTGTAATTAAGAAACTTTGTCGGCGATTATCAAAGAACTTATGTACCATATCAAAATTATATTCAAGAAAAATTACCTATGTTAGAACATTTTGAAAACATATAAGGCTCCTTTGACCATATTAGCCATCTAAAGATCATCGAGCTCTATTTCTCTCTCATTTCTATCATTTCTTCCGTAGCATTCGATTTCTTAAAGATTCAAGATTTAAATTTCCGATTGAGTGAAACTTCAACTATGTTTGAGGCTTGTCATTCCACCTCTATTCCAGATTATTTTGAAGTTTTAACTATTGTTTTGTGAAGCCTTTTCTCAAGCTTCAACTTTTGGTTTTGAAGCTCTATATTTCATTTCAGTTTGATTTTCTTTTTTGTAAAGCTTTTTTAACTGTAATGTTTGAGGCTCTTTATTACACCTCTGTTCAGTAGAGCTAGAAATAAGACTTTCACAATTTTCCAATTGAATTTTTGGACAAATACTTCAATTTGCTGTATGAATCAAATGAAACTCCTGTGGTCATAAGTTACTAATGAACTATCAATTCGCAATTTAGCGAAGAGTGAAAGGTTTTGAGCATGTTTTCGTAAATTTTCAAGTTGATTGAGTGAAAACTTTAGATAATACAGCCTGAAGTAGTTTGATTATTAGGGGAATCTTCCAATAGATAAGACACAAGGATGTAAATATTTTTTTTACCATTGAACTGTTTCAAGTATCAATTTGCAATTTAGTGAGGAGTGAAAGGAAGGTTTGGAGCATATTTTAGTAAATTTTCAAGTTGTTTGAGTGGAATTTTCAAAAAATGCAGCCTAAAATAGTTTAAATATTAAGGGTTTATACACAATGATGTAAATTATTTTTTTTACCATTAATGAACTGTTTCAGGTATCAATTTGAAATTTGTAAAGGAGTAAAAAGAAGGTTTGAAGCAAGTTATAGCAATTTTTCAAGTTGTTTGAGTAAAAACTTTAAAAAACACAGCCTGAATTAATTGATTAATTGATTATCAAGGAAATTTTTCAGTAATTTAGACATAGGATAGGACATAGGGTCAAAAATCAATGTTTTACACTTTCTCTGTTGAATTTTTAACATTAGGAATGCCGGAAATAGAAATTTGATGCTTTTCAAGTTCAAATTTTAGCTTTAGTAGAGCCGAGAATGAATTTTTCACAATTTTCCCATTAAATTTTTCTTCTCCCACAATATGTGTTTTAAACCACTTCAACTCAACTTCTTGTATGGCTAGAAATCAAAGTTGCATCTACAATTCTCTAGTCCAATTTTTGACATTAGTCTTATGCCTTTTCAACTTTTAAAAGACTCTGAAGATTTTAAAGATCTGGAAAAGTTGTTATAGATGCAAGATGCAAGACCTCAAGATCAAATATTCTGAATCACACCGGAAATTGAAATTTTTGAAAGCTCTGAAGCTAAATTTTTAACGAATGTAGAATGAAAACCACATGAATAAAGATGCTGCTGTTTAAATGATTCATATTCTCTTAACTCTTTGAAGATTTTTAAGCTAGAAACATCAAATATTTTTAGGATGGTGGTCTTGAAGCCTTCAAAATCTTAGGAAAATTAAAAATGTGTAAAGATGGCTAGCACAGTTGTGTGATAATTTTATAGTGAATTGAGTGCAAATTTTGTCAAAAAGTGTTTCATGCGGTGTGTGCTAAACTAAGGGACTCTTATCTTAAGTTTATTAATGACTGCATAAAGGTGTTTTGGTTTTGCGACGAGTGTGTGAAAAATGTGTCGTCAAAGCTATTCCAAACCAAATTGGAAACCATTCAAAAACTACAGCAAAACATTGAGCAGGATACACACTTAATAACATATTAGCATTAACATTGTCATATATAACAATGTTATATGATAGATGTTGAATTGATTGTGTTTCGTCCACACCTAAGTTAGTAATTATAACAAGAAGCGCTGCTTGTTACAGCGGCGTGCGTAATCATTTTTGAGGATGAGTAAAATGAAAGAAAAAAACGACAAAAAGAAGATTTTGGATTCGACCTACCCTATACAGTCGAGAAACATAATACACCGTAGCCCATGCGTTAGGAGGTGTCCAGTTTACAGGTGGATTAGTAGAAATAGTATCTAATCCACCTGTAAGCTTATGCACGGGTTACGTAAATCACCCTGTATAGTGGAAGTAATCTTTTACGTGACCACAAAACGTTTGGTAATGACTTTGTGGTTTTTGGCTACGGGGACTCGTACGTATAGGGTCTTTCCCCATATATTGACCCACCCCAGGGGTTATCTGAAGAGATATTAAAAAAATTTAAATACGAAAACTTTGTGGTTTTACCATAGACAATGAAAAATAAAAAGACCTTCAAAAGTATAGCCGTAGCGGAATATTCGGAAAGCTAGAGATGTATGAAAGATCACTCCAATCATTCGATTTTGTTTCATCTTTCTTTGTCTTACCAATTTACAAGACAAGAACACCGTATGAGTTACACAGCTTTCCGAGCTGCTTTGTAGAAATCTGTGAAACATCCATAATCATAGAAACTGTGACCTGACCAGAGAAAACAAATAAGTATAACCTTAAAATAACGACATTTTTGTGTTGAAATTTGTCATTTTTATCAGATTGGGCAGTGGTCTAAGAAGCCTCAAACTCACAAAATCTAAAGGAGAAGAAGAAATTGTCATTTTTATTAAGAGACTTGAGGCGTTTTCTCGCGTCCACTTTTTTGAAACTGATTCAAAAACTGTTTCGAAACAGTACATTCTTGCGATAAACACATGACGTCACGTCAAAATTGGTTCAAATTGTTTCGAAATACAATCCAATCCACGTTTTCAAACCATTTTCTCGCGCCAAGGAATTATGACGTCATGATATGACATTACTTAAACCATCAGTTCTGAAAAAGTTTTCAAACATTTGACTTATTGAAAAATCGTATATGTGCCTACAAGTGTCTCTTGGTATAAATAACACTTCATCACGCTCATTCGTCAAGACAACTTATTGATTTTCTGTATGGCTTTGGAATTTGTTGTAGCTATGACAAAGTAATGACAAATCTTCAATAGCAACTACAGTTTGCCGTAACATGCAATCAGCAAACTTTGAACTACGGAGAGCAAATAGCTTAAAGCTCGATTGTCTGATTCAAACGGTAGTGGACAATTTTGATATACAGATCTCCTCAGCAAATGGACTGAAATCAACACACTCCCTCGCAGGGGATAGAATGAAATTTCTAGAAACACTCTAAGGTTGAAAAGAGAACGAAAGATAGCGATTTTCCCTGTTCCACCTCCAGCATTTCCAGCGCTCTTTGGCCACCTTGTTGTTGTTTTCCTCCGCTTCGCGACGGGAGGCAAACGACATTTCGCTCTAAAATCTAAATACTTTTTTCCCTTGTATACTAAATAACTATATTATTAATGGGATATTATATTTTTCGGTGTTAAAGTTGCTCAATATATTGGAATATAGAATATCATCCATAAATCTTTGGAATGTAGCCGGCGCGTTCTTCAAACCAAAAGGCATACGCAAGAATTCTTAATGCCCGTTTTCTGTGCTGAATGCGGTTTTTTCGAATGATCACGCCTCTCCACATCCATTATTTCGCAATATTGCCGGATTTTTTTCTATTTCAAAATACTACACATGCCCAATATAGCAAAGAAAAATATGTCACCAACTTGTTTATTACTGTTTCCGTTAAGTTTGGCAAAGCAGCAAATTCTATTGCAGTTCGCCGTTTGGCTAGACAGACAATATATAGGTACCTATTTCAGACAAATTTAAAAAATCAATTTGCCGTACAGACGACTGACCGAATAATCGGCCACACATCAAACACCAACGAACGACCGAAATATACGACAGTCGTTGGGGTGGCAAGTTCAATGAGTACCCTACGTGACTAATGGCTAATGTATCATTCAAAATGTCGGCAGAGGAGCAGCCAGGGCCTTCAAAAAATAGGTTTAGAGTGCAAAATGATTACGATAATAGTTATTGCGGATTGGATCAAGGTGAGATACTCCATATTAATGTATTGCTCAAAAATAATGCACGCAGATATATATGACACTCGTCCATCTGCCATGCAAAAAACTGCTGCTCACACGCCAAAACAAGTGAAAATACTGCCGTCCTGAAAGGGTTAAACCCTTTCGTGGACACCATTTGATAATGATATTTAGGGCATTTTGTATCAGGTCACTAATGATCCTATCATGCTTACCCCTAATGATGACCGTGAGATCGTCAGCATATCCTAGGACTGTGATATATTGGGCGCTTAGTGCGTTGAGAAGTTAATCTACTACTAGTTGCCACAACAGTGGGGACAATCATTGACTGCTGAGACCGTTTCAGAGTCACTTCCAATGGTTGCTTTGATTTTTCTATTCTCTCAATCTATGAAATTGTAGTTTCATCAAGGCCCTTATTTCTAGCCACTCTTCTTATGGATTCATGTAAGGTGTTATCGAAAGCTCCCTCTATATTAATGAATGCACATAGAGCGGTTTCTTAATTAGAGTTTGCCTTTTCAATATTAGTAACAAA